AGGTCAGAGGGTAACTTGCAGGATCTGGTTCTTTCCATGTGTGAGTTCTGGGGATCAAATTCAGATCATCTGGCTTGGTAGCAAGCACCTTTCTTTACACACTGAGCCATCTTGCTGGCCCCGGCACTGGGCACCCTCTCTGCAACCCTTCAAAAGCAGTGCATACCAGAGTGATGGCGTGTGAGAGTGCACACCGCAGCATGTAGCCCGTTTGCCTGAACTCCACCGAAGACACATCATCCTCTAGAACTTCCACCTCCAGACTCTTGTTCCTCCAGCACCAGTCCTCATGCATAATGCTTACTGTAAGGCAAACGCCGGGGTCATGCCGCGCACTACCCAGCACCTAGGGACCTGCTAACTAGCTGCACAAGAATATGCGCTGAGCATGTGCTGTGCACTTGCAATCCCAGCATGAGGAACCCTGAGGCAGGAAGATAAAGAATTTGAAGCCAGTCTGGGCGCTAGAGTGAGACCCTGTCTAAAAAGAAAATACACTTTATATAAAAACACATAGGCAGTCAACAATGTTTAGGACAAGTCACTGCCAAAAAGAAACAGACGCCAGTGGCCACCATGGCCACCAACAAAGAAACCCTTAGCTGTAGATGACAGGCTACAAGATACCTGGGGGTCACTAGAGTTTTTGTAAGTATTTTCAACTGATTTTTGTTGTTGTTTCTATGGAACAGCCCTGTCAGACCTTGAATCCCTAGCCTCCCAAGCACCAGGCTTCCTGTCAGCCTTGCAGATCTAGTCTTTGGGACTCTGCCAGTGGACGGACTATGAGCAGCAAGTCCTCATGTGCATACGGGCATGGCAAGATTCCATAGAAAGCGTATAAAACAGGCAGGTGGTGCTCTGAGTATAGTTTGCCAGCTCTTTCTGAGACAGAAAACACAACCCCAGAGAGAGAAGGTTACTTCCCACTGGCCAGAAGTCTAGTCTGAAAAGAAAGCAGGAGCCAGCAGCTTGTTGGGGACAAGGATGGCACCAGCGTGGGCCACTGCCCACTGCCTGCTGCCCAAGCTCTGGGCTTTGCTTAGCCCCTTCTTGAAAAAGGCTACTGTACCATTTCACAGATGAGGAAACAGTCTGGGGGAGGGAGGAGAAAGACTGACTGTCCACAGTCACTCTAGAGCTAAGCGGCAGACATGAGAGTAGAATTACCACGCTCTTTCTGCATTTAAAATAAAGTGATTAGACAGGGCACCCTCCCCCATAGATGCATGCAGTGGGACCTTCCTGACAAGTCTTACTTTGCAGGCCAAGGTCCCAGGACAGAGTTGCCAAGGAAAGGCCTACAAGAAGCACAAAGGGGGAGAGGGCTTGGGCTAGCTCACGGAAGTGTCATGCTCCATCTTACTTTTGTATTTCCCAGGTAGCACTTTGTCAAATGTGAAGGTCATGGAGTTGACCTTGCCAGAGAGCTGGAGGCTACGTTTCTCACCCTGGCGGCTCAGTGACTGCAGGGTTACCAACAGGTCACCGCAGGTGTCTGTGGAGGAGAGAGCAGAGGACCTCACATGATGGCCATCACAAACCCTGACAAGTTTCTGAGTGATCAGCCTGAGCAGTAAGCCCTGCAGGCAAGTTCAGAAAGAAAGCCTACAAGAGCCCAAAAGTAGCTGTAGCTCTGTCCTCAACTTCCTCAGTGACCCAGTTCCCAGTTACCCCAAGACAATAACACTCTGGCAGGGAACCAGGCCCCCCACACCTGCAGAGTCCCTACTGAGATAGAATGGGATAAGGCCACCATCCACGTGGTGCTTGAAGAGACCTTACACAGAAGCCAGCACCCTCCAGTACGCGAGGGTCTGTCCTGAGGTTTATGCACGGTAATTCATCCAACCCTTGCCAGAGGAGTTACACACTGCTATTATATTATCCCTGTCGGAATGAAGCACAGTGAAGCTTAGTAATCTGCCCCAGGTCACACAGCCCTTGGAATCTAGTTTCAAAATTATCAGTGACACTGATGAGACCATCAGGGGCAGTAGGCCCATTTTACAGAGCAAGATTCCCTGGCCTGTTGGGTGTCATGGTGCACACCTATAACCCTAAAACTTGGAAGCTGGAGGCAAGAAAGTTAAGATCATTCTCAGCCTTGTACAAGTTAGAGACCAGCCTGAACCACACGAAACCCAGTCTCAAAAAAACACACAAAGGAGGCTGGGGAGATGAACCAGTCAGTGAGCTGCCTGTCACACAAACATGAGGATCTGAGTGTGGCTCCTGTAGACCCACATGAAAAGCTGGCATGGCAGTGTGCTGCACCTGCAGCCCCAGCACTGGGAGCAGACAGGGACAGGCAGGGACCTGGAAGCTCTTGTCAAGTCAGTCTCGCTGAAACAGTGAGGGACCCTATCTCCAAATATAAAATAGTGCAGAGAGATCAAGGGAAGACATGCAATACTGCCCTCTGGCCTTCACACATAGGTACACGTGTGTAAGTGTGCCCATACACAATGTACTCTTACATACACTGACAAGTGTATACAATAATCACACCAATCACCCATATATACACAAGCTACTATTAAAAGCAGGATCTGATTTCAGCCTAAAAAGAAACCTTTGTAAAACAAAATAGAAATAATCCAGGTGCCTAGTAGCTTGGCAGTTACTGAGAAATCACCATTCACAAAAAGAGCACCTCAGGACCCTGCAGCCCCTCCCCAGGAGTGGCATTGCCTTCACTGCAACCCCATTCAAAAACACCTGGTCCCAGCTCCTCCCACTGACCACAATCTCTGAACTAGAGGCCCTCCCTTGCAGGGCACACTCACCCAAGCAGGAGACTTTTCCAGAAACAGATGCCAAAAACTGCACAAAGGCCACATCCATCACAGGCCTGTTGGTCACGGTGAGAGGAAATGTCTGTGGTTTCAACATCAGCCCCGCTCTGGTCTCAGCCTCAGGCACCACCACCTGTGAGAACATGAGACTATAGAGCAGTGGTTCTCAATCTTCCTAATGCTGAGACCCTTTGATACAGGTCCTCATGTTATGGTGACCCCAACCATAACACTATTTCGTTGCTACTTCATAACTGTAATTTTGCTACTGTTATGAACTGTAATGTAAACACCTGATACGCAGGATATCTGATACGTAACCCCCTCAAAGGGGTCACAACCCACAGATTGAGGTGACAACCCACTGTACTAGAAGCCAAAGAAAACAGCCCTCTCCAGCCTACAGGGCACTAGAACCTTCGTGAGGGCCTCAAGCTAAGCAGATACTCAAGGATGAAGGTTCACTTTCAGCCCAGACATGTAATCACAACAAATACAAGAAGAAATTTTGTTTTTTCAAGACAGGGTTTCTCTTTGTAGCCCTGGCTGTCCTGGAACTCACTCTGTGGGTCAGGCTAGCCTCCAACTCACAGAGCTCTACCTGCCTCTGCCTCCCAAGTGCTGGGATTACAGTCATGCACCACCATACCCAGCAAGAAGTGCTATTTTTATAGTAACACAGTAACAGTATAATAACTAAGCCAGGCATGGCAGCACCAGCCTGTAATCCCACACTCAGGAGGCTGAGGCAGAAAAAACACCCCAAGGTCCAAGACAACCTGGGCTGTTATGAAACCAAGTTGAAGGGGGGGGGGACATCTGATGTCTCCCCAGAGGCACTTTTAGAATTAGGTCATTTTCTTTTTCTGTGTACTTATTTCCTTGTATGTTACTTTTAAGGCAGAGACTATATAGCCCAGGCTAGCCTGAAATTCATACTCTTCCTGCTTCAACTCCCCAGTGCCAGGATTGCAGGTGTGTGCCATCACACTTGGCTCCTTCTCTGTGTGCTTTCCCAAGTACAGAAAAGGATGGGGAAGGGGGCAGTAAAGAACTGCCCAACTCTGGACTTCCAACAGAGCCTCAGGAGCTGCCGATGAGCCATCTTCAGATAAGCTAGCAGGTGGCTAACAATGATAGCTGTCATCCACCGAATCTCTCCACTGTCTCTACAGAAGAAAGGGCCCACTCTAGAAGACCCAGACTTAGAGGGCACTCCCAGGCCTCCCTCACTAGAGCTGTGAGCAGGGCTGATTTGATTAGCAAACCCGGCCAGCTACAGGGACATGGTCTTTCCCAAGTGGGCAGACCTCTGCTTGTCTTGTCACCAACCGAGCTATGCTCAGGCCTACTCCACTGTGGAGAAACTCCAGGCAGGGGCCACCCCATCCTCTGCCTGAATGGGCAGGCTCCCTGGGGCCTGCTGATTGTCCTGGAGTCAGAGTGGGGAAGCTCCTCCCTGGTCTGGACTCTCAGAAGCTGGCACCATGAAGTTCTGAGCTGCATGAAGAACTGGCTCTGCTCTGCTTTGGCCTCATGGACAACCTGGAGCAGCCAGAAGCAAGGAAGGTGGAGGAGGGCACAAGCTTGCTCCTAAACCTGCACACACATCAAATGAGAAGAGACAGGCCTCTGCTCGTTCACTCACAAGTAGGAATGAGACTGCTTCAGGAGCCAGGAACTAAAGGGCTCCTCCCTGTGTCCCACTGTGGCTCCTAACACTCTGGAAAACCCTTGCTTTCTCTCAAGTTGGGAGTGAGAGTGAGTAGAGGCCAGAGGTCACCTTGGGTACTGTTTCCTCAGGAGTCATCTATCTTGTTCTTTTGAGATGAGGTCTCTCATTGGCCTGGAGCTTACCTTGCAGGCAAGTACAAGTGAGCCTCAGGGACCTGCCTGTCTCCACCTCCCCATGACAGGCTCATGCCAGCACACCTGACTTTTTTATAAGGACTCTGGGGTTCAAAGGTCCTTATGCTTGCAGGGCAAGCACTCTACTGACAGAGCCACCTTCCCAGCCCTCAGGATATAAGACAAACACAACTCATGCACCTGGACTTTGTAGGACCCTGGTTTCGCTTTAAAGCAAAATGCTCCATGAGTATCTGTCTCCACGGTGACCAGAGATTTGTCCTTGTCTTGAGAGGACAGAACCACTTTGTATTTATTCATCTGCTTGATGGTATCAGGAGAGCGGATGATGGATATCTGGCCACAGATGCTGAACCTGCAATGAGAAGTATGTCATTCCAGCAAGACTCAATGCAGCAGGGCAGGCTCCCAGCAACCCTGAGATAAGCCATCTCACAGCAGACTTTGTGACTTTCACTTTAGACACCACCTGCAAAAATCTACAACTCGGCCCAGGGCAGGGCTGTGTGCGCTCTGGGTAATACAGTGCCCCCCACCCTACCTCCACAGAAGCCATTTGCAGGAAATCTGCAGGTACTAAAAACATTTCAGGTAATTGGATTGCTGGGATAACTCTAAATAAGAAAGACCAGTCAGCTGCCTGCAAAACAACAACAAACCAGTACCATTAACCAGGACATAAAACAACCAAAGAGTCTTCCTCATTTGTGGTTAGATGTCAAGCAAGAGCAAATGCAAAATTGAAACTGAATTCCTTGGGATTGAGAGTCACAAATGCCTCTCATAAAGGCAGAACCTATGGATGGTAATGACACAGATTCCAGCTTCCAGATGAGCAGGTCCCTCCAAAAAATATACAGCAGAGCTGGAGAGATGGCTCAGGGGTTAAGAGCACTGACTGTTCTTCCAGAGGTCCTGAGTTCAATTCCCAGCACCCATATGGTGGCTCACAGCCATCTGTAATGAGATCTGGTGTCCCCTTCTGGCCTGCAGGCAGATATGCAGTCAGAACACTATACATTTTGGGGGAGGGAGGGAGGAAGGGAGGGAGTGTAGGTTGGGTGTGGTTATCTGTGTGGGTGCACTCAGAACACCATCCAGAGGCCACCACCTCTCCAACTCACTAAAGGTTAAATCTTCTTATCTTAAACAATCACGGGAGATAAATATCAGCTGCTGCTTCGGACAGAGTGATACTAAAGAACTTTCGGCCTCTGACAACCATGGGCCAAACAAAATGCTGGAAAAACATGTCTGTCCCAACTGGACAATCAGGCTCACCATCTGCTTCTTTCTGTGTGGACTGTCCCACAAGGGAAGTTTCTACATCCTTAACTGGTTAAACAGTTTTTAAAAAGGATCAGGACTGAAGAGATGCTCAGTGGTTAAGAGCACACAGTACCCTCCAGAGGACCTGGGTTTGATTCCCAGAACCCACCTCAGGGGGTCCAAATTGACCTGAAAGTACTGTTATGTCCCAAAGAAATTCAGGACAAATAGCTGAGGTGCCTATTAACATATCAAAGTGGATGCTGGCCACCAGGCTCTCCCAGCAGTCCCAGAGTCCTGGCTCCTCTGACCACTGGCTCTCTTGGTTCCCATGTGTTCTCTATTCTCATTCTCTCCCCCACCCCACTCTGCTCTCTCTTCTCTCATGGCCTGGTCTATTCTGCTGGCCATGTTTAGTCTGGACCCTTCCAGAGATGCCTCTCTCTGTTCTCTCCCTCTTATATCTACAATAAAACCCTCCTTAACTATACCTTAACTATAACTATGTCCTCATTTTCATCCAACTCCAGGAGATCTACCCAACCCCCATGCTCTCCAGGTGACTGCCAACACCCTGGCTCCCCACCAGTCCCTACACACGCCATGGGTTCCAGTGGGTCTGGTACATGGTCAAAGGCTCCCTGTCCTTCTCACTGGCTCAGCCCCTTCCATGCAGCTCCCTCCCCTCTGAACATGCTGCCTTCCTTCCTGGGAAGCCCTGCACCTTCTTCCTTTGGTCCTCCTCAGAGCTACCACCTCACCACACTCTACCCAAGGTCTTCTCAAAGCTCCCCAATTCTTCCTACACAATTCAAAATTGCAGGCCTCTCTCCCCAGGGAGCTGGGAGCTGACAACCCTGACCTTACTACTTGGGCTCAGTTCCTTGTTACATGTGCAGCCCTAGCACAGTGCATTACCCGAAGCAGCCACCATATTCATGGGAGCTTGTAGCTGCTTACCTAGTATGGAAGTTCCAGCACAAAAACAGAGGGGAGAGGAACAGAACTGGAACCCAAGTGTTATTTTCTAAGCATGACTGACTTCCCCGTCTTTCAAAGCTGCAAGGTTGCAGTGTTTCCTTTGTGACTAGGCTGATAGGCTGATAGGCTGTCAGCTGGAGCTCAGCAGCCACCTTGGCCCTAACATTCACTTTCTTAGCTCCTGTGACCTCACCCATTGAGGCTCCCCAGCCCACCCCTTCGATGCTGGCATTCCACTTCCAGCTGACTAGTCACCTAGGAGTGCCAATCATCAGGATGTACACAGATCCAAACATCTAGGAGAGATTGCCACCCAGTGGTCATGTGACACCAAACCTGAACCCTCGTCACCAGTCCAGAGCAACACCTCTAGTAGGCTTCAAACCCCTAAATATCTTTCCATTCCGTCCTTGACAGGCATAAATCAGTTACTACGTGATGAACTCTGCCAATGACCAGAAACATCTCCAAACTCACCTCCACACCCACCACAAAACCCTCTAGGATCAGACAAGGAAAGTGCTCACAAGGAAGGGCTAACTTCAAAGTTCTTTTTCTAATTTAGATAGTCATAAGATAGACAGATATAAGTTAGACAGACAGACAGACAGAAAGACAGATAGATAGATATGATTATTTATTGTTTGTATACATGTGGAAGTCAGGGACAACTTGTACAAGTCTGTTCTCTTCTTCTATCACGTGGCTTCCAGGGATCAAACTCAAGTTGTTAGGCTTGGCAGAAAGCACATTACCATCGTCTTCTTTTTCTACTTTAACAAACCCATTTTAACTTGAAAGCAAAAGAAAATAGTCTTAAGTGTCCAACGTGCAAGTGCCTTCACCTACTAAGATCCAGCGCTCATCTTTCCAAAGCAGAGCCAGCTTGACTCTGGACAGTTATCAGCACTGGATGTGGTTCACAGGCAGAAACAGTAAGGTCAGAACTTCTCCACTGCAGCCAAGAGAAGCCAGAACACACCCAAGACTGCACACAGCCCATGGGCTGGCTAGTTTTATGTTTATTTGACACATATTGGAGTCATCTGGGAAGAGGGAACCTCAACTGAGAAAGAAAATGCTCCCACCAGACTGGCCTGTGGTTCATTTTCTTGACTGATAACTGATGTGGGAGGGCCCAGCTCAATAAGGACAGTGCCACCCTGACACAGGTGATCTGGGTTATATAAGGAAGGAGGCTGAGCAAGGCAGTAAGTGGCCCTCCAGGGCCTCTGCTTCATTCCAGATTCCTACCTGACTTCACTAAGTGATGGACTGAGATGTCCAGATAAACCCTTTCCTTTTCAAGTTGCTTTTGGTTTGGCCAACAGTCACCCTGACCAGACAGCACACTTACCCTGTAGCAACGAGGTCAGCCAGCTGCGGGGTGTTGGGTGCAATTTTGATGGTGACCATCTCAAAGTAGAGATGCTCCTTCTGAGCATGGATGGTGTATGTCCCTGTTGTTATGTTCTCTAGGCGGAAGGAGCCATCACCTTTCGTTTTGACTGTGAAACCAAAACACGTGAATAAAAGATGAGCCCCAAAGCTTGTATCCTAATAGATACATGAGAATACAATGTTTTTATAAGGTCACTGAGATTTTGTCACTTGTGTCTATATCGTGCCATGATCCAAACAAAGTCCTTTGAGGAGGCTCAGGACCACCAGGTCTGCCCACCTTTAATCTGGTTGTTCAGAGTGACCACAGCCTCCGGAACACCTTCTCCTTCAGGTCCATTCAAGACCCTCCCAGTGACAGAGAAACCCATGACGTGGAACACGGGCTGCAAAGTAAAGAATAGAAGGTGCTCACGTGCCCCTGCCACCAAGACCCCTTCCTGCCTAGCATCATGGCTCCATGTGTTGGCCCCTCACAACTCTAGTTCCAGCCAAGCCCCTCTCCCTGTCACAGTCTTTATCTCCTCAGCTGCATTTCTAATGCATGAATGATCATCAGAGTTGAATAAAAACAGCCTGCAGACTCACTCCCCAGCTCACAGGTTGATACTTCTGGCTTGTGTTTCCCCAGCCTTGCCCTCTCCTGCTCCCACCCTGGCCCCATCCCTATGTCCCCACTCTGGTCACTCCCACCTACTGACTCTAGCATCTCCTGGGACCCCTGACCTAACCTCAGCAGCTCCTGGGACTCCAGCCCATCTGTCCCCCAGCATCTCCTGAGACCCCTGACCTGTCACCCCCAACATTACCTGGGGCCATGGCTTTTCCCATCACCTGTAGCATGTCCCTTCAGGATCCCCTAAAACCCCCAACCTATTCCACCAGTATCACCTAAGATCAATAATGGTCTACCCTCCCCTTTTAAAGTCCAAAAGCCCTCACATAAGAGCCTAGGCCAGACAGATTCCTTCCAATCCACCCTTCTTCTGGAAAATTGCTCACCACACAGCCCCATGCCTTGTCTATGTGTGCCCTTTTTGCTCCAAACACCAAGCCTGGGCTCTCCTGGGAGGCATCACCAACCTCATTTTTCTCATCATTGAACCACTCAGGATATGAAATGCCTGCTGATTCCCCACATCTCAATCCGCTCATTAAAATGTGACTTTGCAGGACAGGGGGCACACACCTGCAATCTCAGCATTCAGGGGGCACACACCTGCAATCTCAGCACTCAGGGGACACACACCTGTGATCTCAGCAATCAGGGGGCACACACCTGCAATCTCAGCACTCAGGGGGCACACACCTGCGATCTCAGCACTCAGGGGGCACACACCTACAATCTTAGCACTCAGGTGGCTAAGCCAGGAGGATCATAAGTTTAAAGCCAGTGGTACTGTCTCAAAACAAAAAAGGGAACTAGTTACTTTGAGATTGCAGGTGTGTGCCCTCTGAGTGCTGAGATAACAGGTGTGTGCCCCCTGAGTGCTGAGTTAATAAGTTACCCACTTATTAACTCACAAATCCAACAAATGTTTTCTACACTTACTATGTGCCTGGTGTTGAAGCACACAGGTGAAATGGGAAAACCTGATGAACATTCTAGGCCCTCAATTGAAACTCCACACACTGCAAGTTAAAACATTTGACCACTGTCTGGGTACTTTGCCCAAGTACCTACCACACCCTTCCCGCTAGGTTGTACAGGCAATAAAGGTTCAGTGCTCATTTTCCTGGGTTCCTGGCCTTCATTTAAGTGTCCTATGCAACCTTAGAAGGCAGTGCCAGGTCCCTTGACTGCACTATTTTAGAGGATTGCTTTTCAGTGTGTTATAAAAACCAGAGAATAACTTTTCACTAGCACTATTGCCAGGTACCCTTGGGCGCTTCCTCTATGTTGCAAGCTGCCAGCAGGGACCACTTCTAACCCTGTAATTAAAGACACAGAAGAATGATGAAACCACATTCACCATATCTTCTGAGCCTCTATCTCACCATCCCCTCCTACCACATGGGCCATGCTCTCCTGAGCACACATGGTTACTGCCCAGGTCAGCTCTCCTCATCACCTCTTCCTAGCAGCACCCAACTCCGTGTAGCAGAAGAGGCCCCTCTAAGCCTCCCTTGACCCCCACTCCAGCTCCCCTGGCCTCCTCAGGGTGCCTGACTCTCCAGGCACACTCCTGCCTTGAGACTTTTGTATTCACCACAAATTTTAGGTATAGTTCACTTGCTCCCCTTTAGATGGCAGCTCAGTGTCACCTTTGGAGAGAGGACTCCTGACATAACATTTGGCCTTGTGTCCCTGTCCTGAACTTCTGTTCCTGAGAGTGCTTACCACCTTCCAACACACTAACTTACTTATCTAAATAGACACTGGTTCTTCCCATCACTAAAACGCAACTTCCAGAAAGACTGTTGACCCCTTGAGCCCCTACTGCATAGCCAATATGGAACAGAACTCAAAGCAGAGTCTATGGGCACTCTTTGGACACATCTCACTGAAGGAGCAGCACCAACCAGGACTCTGGCTAGCTCAGCAAGATGAAGAAGCTGTGTAAGAGAGTTAGTGTATCTAGAGTACTACTTCCTCCAATAGCCATTCTGGACAGGGTACTAATGTGCCCAGGGCTGGGAACCCAAACGCCTGCCTCCAGAGCACTGTGAAGCCTCACCTCGATTCTCAGGCTGTCATGCTCCACGGTGAAGTCAAGCCTGGAAGGTGCCACATCAAAGGTGATCCTCTCCCCTCTGTAGAACGGCACCTAGAATGAGGGGACTGGCGATTATGAAGAATATACAGTACAATCCTACAGTCAGTATTCACCCAGAGGAATGTGAATCTCAGCTGCTGGTCTAATGGGGAGCCCTGGGCTCTACTGTGACAGAAGGAACCTATGTCTCATCTTCAGCACAGGCTGGGATCCCCAGGGCAAACATGTTTGCAACCATGGGTGCTCCTCACTGTAGAACTGTTCAGATGCTGGAGTGCCTGCATGTCCAAGTCTGAACCTGAGATCCACTACCTTCCACACACACTTTACAGACAAAGAGACAAAGGCTCATGGCAAACTCAATAGTGTATTTAGATTTGGGAGTGTTTTGGATATGAGGTTTTTAGTTTTAGGGACACTCAGTCTATCCTTGCTAGGCCAAGTGTTAATGAATGACAGGCCCACCATCTGACCATTCTATTGATTTGCATCTTAAACGCCCCCAAAAGCCCATAGGCTAGCAGGCATATCCACCATGCTGCCCATGTTCCACATGTGTCCCAGGATAGCTACAAATGTGGCCCAACACATCTGGAGAGAACAGGGTCATGTTGCAATGTCAAAAGGCTAGCCACACCTGTGCTTGAGATATGCTTGTCGGCACCGCTGGGAGGTGGCAGCACCTGTAGGAACTAGGGCTTGATGGAAGGAAGTCAGGTCATTGCAGCGTGCCCTTGAAGGAGTGTCAGAATCCCAGCCCTTCTGCTCTCCCCAGTTCTGTCAGCCTAGCCTCCATGCTTCAACCACACCCTACTGCCTCAGCTGAGTCCCAAAAGCAAGAGGGTAGTCAGCCAGAAAGTGAAACCATGACCCAAGATAACCCTTCACTCCCTTAGGTTGGTTTACCTCAAGTAGTGTGTCATCATACAGAAAGCTGACTCACACGAGGCCCATAGTGTCCTGTACAGACAGAAACCTGCTCACTCACCACAGTGTAGCCCCCGCTCGGCAAGGAATAGAAAGAAAATGAGCCATCTTCTTTGGAGACCGCATAGCACAGATAAACCAGGCTCTCATCTGGGGGCTGGAACCCGGACACTGGGGACACATTGCAGCCCAGGACATCCTATGTCAGGGGAAGAAGAAATGTCCATGTTCTGATTACCCAACAGCCACAAACAAGGCCCAACTAACTTGTAGAAGTCAATGCATGGGCTTCTTGCAAGAGATCAATGCTGGGGATCAATGCAGGCAAACAGAACACAAATCTCTACACCCAGCCTCCAAAGTTAAAAACGGGCAGTCTTCATAGGACTGTCTTCTAAGGCAGTCTCCTCCCCAACAATAGGAAAACTGGCCAAGGAAGAGAAGTGGCACACCCAAGATGCCACAGAGCAACAGGAGTTAGAACCTGATATTGGGCGGACCTGGTCAAAACCCAAGCATCTCCCCAACTCCATGGCCTCACGGTGCAGACAATCCATAGAGACATGGTATTCTCAAACATCCGGTTCACAAACCAACCACTGTTGGTATGTTCAACAGTAGGCCCCTGACCTGTCACTTCCCTTCCCCCAATCTTGGTTCTTTATTTCTTTATGCTTACCTCTTTGTTCACTAAAGAAGAAAAGAGAAGAAACTTCACCCCTTTCATGGGCTCCCCGTCACTGCGGACAGAGCCAGATACATTATAGCCATCCACTATTAGGGGACCAGCTGCGTTAGCGTTGGAATTTGTCACCCGTACCGTGGTACTTGCCTAGAAAAAGGAAGAGGTCTTAGCTTCAATAGCACTAAACCCTGACTCAGGGGCTTACAGCAGAAATCCCAGCATCGGGAAGCTAGAGGAGGAAGATTATTGTGAATGTGAGGCCACCCTGGACTACAGTGTGACAGTCTCAAAAAGAAATAAACAGAACAATAAATCCTTTCAGAATACCCAACAAACACAAAGGCATGTTTAAATTTTTAACTAAGAAAAGCAATATGAAC